CTGCGGGACGCCTATGATAAGGAGACAGCGAGGAAGACAGCGGACAGCAGTGTGCAGACAGATGAGGAGGATGGCGAGGAGCGGTACATGCTGTCGCGGCGGCGGCGGTCACGGCGCAGCACCGACTGCAGCGTGCAGACAGATGAGGAGGACAGCGGAGAGTGGGAGCAGCCTGTGCGACGCCGGCGCTCGCGGCCCTCCCGGCACGCCGATGCCGGCACTGAGGGCAAGGCGGATGGCACAGCACGCGGCGTGGCCAGCGTTGGCATCCAGACCATTAGCGACTGCTCGGTGCAGACTGAGCCCGACCAGCTCCTCCGTGTCTCGCCCTCCATCCACATCACCACCCATGACCCTCGTGTGGAGATCATCAAATACATCTCAGCCCCGGAGAAGACGCAGCGGGGCGAGAGCCTCGCCTGTCAGACAGAACCTGAGCCGCCCCCACAGCCTGGAATCGTGGTGCCCCAGCTCACGGTGCCCACCACCATCACCCCCTACTCCACCAACCTCCAGATGGTCAGCACAGGGCCTCTGGACCCCCACGCTGTCCGGCAGCAGACCCTCGGCAAGTTTGAGAAGAAGAAGCCAGATCCTCTGGAGATCGGGTACCAGTCCCACCTGCCGGCTGACTCTCTCTCCCAACTGGTGACCCGCCAGCCTCCCCGCTCCCCCCAGGTCCTCTACTCGCCCGTGTCCCCGCTGTCCCCACACCGCCTGCTGGAGTCTTCCTTCGCCACCAGTGAGCGGCTCAACAAGGCGCACGTCCCACCCCAGAAGCACTTCACAGACTCGGCCCAGCGCCAGCAGACGCTGCCGCGTCCCATCAAAACCATGCAGCGCTCACTGTCCGACCCCAAGCCCATCAGCCCCACCTCTGAGGAGGCCGGCAAGGACAGGTTCTCCCTCTACCAGCACTCACTGCTCCCAGGCACCCAGGTACGTGTGTGCGGGGTCATGCTCGGGCACCCACCCCGGTGATGGCACTTTGTGTCCCAGCTCAGTGGACGTCTCACCCTGCTGGGCTCAGACGTCTCCTCACGCGGCATCCTTCCCTGTGTGTGCCTGGCCAGGCTGACCCGAGCTGAATCGTTTCTGGTGACATCTCACCACTGTGAGCAGGAGAGATGCAGTCACTCAACTCACTCTCGTCCTGCAATAAATAACCTTTCCTTTGGAGAGTGGCCCCAGGAGGCACCTCAGGCCATTTCAGTTTCATTAGTGCTGCAGCAATTAATATTTCAAAAGGTTGGCTCCCCGCAGCGGCTGATGGCAGCCTGCATGCATGGACACGTGGCCCTGCACCTCCAAGCAGGCAGCAGGCGGCTCCTCCAGGTCTGCAGGCACTCAGGGAGCCCTGGTGCTGCAGAGCAGCACAGCGTGACCATGGCAGGACCCTGGATATTCACATCCCACAGCGGGTGCCCTCCGTCTCCTGCACAGCTCAGTTTTGGGGTGCAGCAGCTCACACTCCCATCCGCAAACAGCCTCATTTTGCAGGTGGGGAAACTGAGGCACGACCTGGCAAAACCCCTCTATACAAAGGGGAGAAGGGTAGGCAGGTGATGGGTTGTCCAACATCCCCAAACACAATCTACATTTCGCAGGGTGCAGTGGGGGAACACAGCTCTGTGACAGCTTCCATCTCAGCGGGTCCCGTGTCATCGCCCCACTGCCAATTTTCCCAGCCCTGCTGGAGAGCATTGCAGGGGCTTGTGCAGCACTTAGCAGTGCTCCTCTGCTGGCATGCCAGCAGCCAGCCTGGCATTTGGCTTGCTGCCACTCATGGTAATTATTCATAGAAAGTGCCCTGCCTGTTACTTCCATCCTATTTATTGTGCCTTTACGTAAACGCTGCTTGCATGGGGCATGAGGGAACATGTGCAGGGCACTCAACCCTGGGGGGCTGGGGCCGCACTGCTGACGGCCTCCCCTTGCCTTTGCAGGTGAGCACACTGCAGTCGAGCCCGCTGGCACGCAAGGTGAAGCGCACTCTGCCCAGCCCACCGCCCGAGGAGCCCCACGCGGCCCTGGGCAGCCCGGCCACCCAACAGCTCTACCTGGGCAGCTTGGCCCCCAAGGCCCCTGCCGCAGCACCGGTCACCAAGGCCAGCCTGTTGAAGGAGCTGGACCGTGACCTGAAGCTGGTGGAGCACGAGTCGACCAAGCTTCGCAAGAAGCAGGCGGAGCTGGACGAGGAGGAAAAAGAGATTGACGCCAAGCTGAAGTACCTGGAGCTGGGCATCACGCAGCGCAAGGAGTCGCTGCTGAAGGACCGAGGGACGCGGGACCACCCCTACTTGCGCGGCCTGGCTGACCGCCGCGACTACCTGTCCGACAGCGAGCTGCACAGCCTGCGCCTCGCCACCTATGACAGCGCCGGGCTGCGCCCCGCGCCTGCTGCCCAGTACCCTGACTTCACCGCCGCCTCCTATGCTGCCTACCCCTATGCGGCCCCACCGGGGCCCCCCACCTTCCCTGCCACGCGCCCGCAACCGCCCCAATTCCCTGCTGCTAGCACCACGCAGGACGGCTTGCCACCTGCCCCACTGCCTGCCTTCGCCTCGCCCGCCGCCTTCCCGGCCCCTGGCACCGTGTACCCAGAGCTGAGTGCCCCCGACCAGCCAGGCTTCCGGCCCCAAAACCCCTACCAAGCCCAGAGCACCTTCCCCGGCACAGCTGGTGTGCCCGCAGCACAGCCTGTGCTCTACCAGAGCCCGTCAGACGCACATCAGAAGCCACGGCAGACCTCGCTGGCCGAGCTGGAGCAGAAGATCCCCACCAACTACGAGGTCATAAGCGCGGCCACCAGCTCCTCTGCTGTCCCTGATGTCACCCTCGGTGCGGCGGCGGTGAGCAGCAGCTATGAGCAGTACAAGGCACCCGAAGCCCGGCTGGCTGACAGAACCAGCGTCACGCAGGGCCCGTCAACCAGCTTCTCCTCTGAGTCCCTCTACACCAGCCTGGAGCAGAACATTCCCCGGAACTACGTGATGATTGAGGACATCAGCGAGCTCACCAAGGAGAGCCCAGTGGTGGATGGGCAGAAAGTGGAGCCAGCGGGCACGGGCGCCAACGGCCGCCACAGCAAAGAGAAGAGCGAGATGCTGGATGGCGAGGGGTCCAGCCGGCCGTGCTGCTACAGCAAGGCAGAGGATGAATCCGAGGAGGACATCTATGACCACCACGGCCCTGACCATCGTGGGAAGAACAGCTACCACCGGGAGAGCAACGGCAGGGTGTCGGGGAGCTCGGCGGGCTCCTACTACTACGGGGATAGCGAGTACCGGCACTCCTCACGGGCAGACAAGCACGGCTCTGGCACGGCGCTGCCAAAGCACTCATCCAAGAACCTGGCACCTGCCGTTGTCTCATCCAAGCGCAGCAAGCACAGGAAGCAGGGCATGGAGCAGAAGATCTCAAAGTTCTCCCCCATTGAAGAAGCCAAAGACGTGGAGTCAGACTTGGCCTCCTACGCAGTGACAACATCGGTCAGCAGCAGCAACGTGGCCTCCCGGGCCAAGAAGCTGCAGGACGAGATCACCTACGGGCTCAAGAAGAACGTATATGAGCAGCAGAAGTACTACGGCGCGTCCAGCCGGGACCTGGTGGATGAGGAGGAGCGGGTCTACTCCAGCAGTGGCAGAACCCGCTCCTCCGCCTACGGGCTGGAGAAGTCTTCCGGTCGTGACGCAGGTGGTCGCAGCAAGTCCTTCGAGCGGGAGGCTGTGGAACGCTCCCAGAAGGGCGGCTCCAAGCCCTCATCCCTCGGCATGAGCCAGAGCCGGGGCCGGGCTCCCGTCCGCACGCAGCCCTCCGAGGAGGAAAGCCCCATCAGCCCCCTGGGCAAGTCGGTGGGGGGGTCGCGCTCCGTGGTCCCTCCGCAGTCCGCGGGGGACCCCTGCTCCCAGTTCTGCTCCAGCCACTCGTTGCCTGATGTGCAAGAGCACATCAAAGACGTGCCAAGGAACCACTTGTACAAGCACGAGGAGGGCTACGGCATGGACGATTCCCATTGCGTTGTCTCGGACAGCGAAGGTAACGGCTACCCGTGGTGGTGAGCACCCAGAGCATGGCGCTTCCCCGGGGCATGCTCGTCCGCAGAGACACTCACGGCCTCAGTTTGCTTGACACGTGCCTTCCTCCCCCCTTTCCAGTCCTTGTCTGGGTGTTCGGTGTTGGCCGGCGGCGCTCGCGCGGTGCCCCGTCCCGTCCCTGCCGGCGCGGGCTGTCCCCTGTGTGTGTGACGAGCTGCTTGCCTTCTCCTGCCTCATTGCATGGCTTCAGCCCGGGCTGCGTTCCTGCCTGAGGAGCGAGAGATTGACTGTCGTTTGTTTTTGGTTTCTGAAGCCTATCATTTGGGTCAGGAGGAGACAGACTGGTTTGATAAGCCCAGGGAAGCGCGGTCAGAGAGGGTAAGGCACTACGGCGGCCACTCTTCCTCGCAGAAGAGACCCCCGGCTAAGCACACCTACCACGACTACGACGAGCCACCGGACGAGGACCCGTGGCAGCACGATGACTATCCTCAGCACCGCGAGCACCGGCACCACGGCGACTACGGCCGCCACGCTGCCTCCTCCCGCCACGACGAGCAGCCGCGTCGCTCGGCCAAGCAGCACCAGCGGGAGTCCGGCCGCCACGAGCCCCGCGGCCACGGCACGCCGGCCGCCGCCAAGAAGGCACAGCAGCCAGAGCCCCGCGCCTCGGCACCGTATGGCCCCGGCGCCTCTGAGTACGCGCCGCCGTCCCGCCACCACGGCGCCGAGCCCCAGAAGGCGCCCAAGGCTCCGCAGCCGCACGGGACGCCCTCCCCGGCGCAGAAAGCGGAGCCCTCGGTCCCCGCGCAGCAGGCGGCGGGCAGGCAGCCGCAGGCGGGGCAGCCGGCGGCGCGGCAGCAGCCTGCGGCGCGGCAGGGCGCTCAGCAGGCGGGCGCTGCGCAGCCCAGGGCGCAGGGAGCCGCCGCGGCCCGGCCGGCACAGCAGCAGCCGGGGACGGGCCAGCCCGCGGGGAAGGCGGCGGCCACGCTGCACGCACAGCCGGGAGGACACCCAGCGCCGCAGGTGAGCCCGCATCTGCTGCGTCTGCTTGCTGTGGCTGGGGAAGGGCTGGGGACCGGGGCATGTGCCGCGCCAGGTGCCCGTGGGAAGGGCCATCCCTGTGCCCCTGACTCTCGGGGTGTGGAGTCTTGCTCCCACTGTACTTTGGGGTCGTTCCTGTGAAGCAAAGTGCAGACATTGCCACGGCGAGCCCCGTGCCACCTCCCACCCAGGGGGCCGGTGCCGAAGAATGCTCTGCCATCCCCTCCAGGAGGGCAAGAGCTGACAGGCATCTTCTGCCTTGCAGCTGAAATCAGAGCAGACGGACACGGCCAAACCCGCAGCAAAAGTGCCGCAGCAGCCTGGGAGAGCGCCTGCAGCTCAGCCCCCAGGAGCAGCAGGTCAGTGCATGATAGTCAGCGACCAGAACCCCGGTGCTGGCTGCCTGAGGGTCATCCGGTGGGACTCACCTTTGCTGACCGCCACCTTGTTTGTCCTCCAGCAGACAGCAAGACTGGTCCGAGGGCAGCCGGGACACGTGGCCCTACCGGCCCAGCCATGGGGCAGCCTGGGGCGGAGGGAGAAAGCGTCTTCTCCAAAATCCTGCCGGGAGGGGCAGCTGAGCAAGCAGGCAAACTGACTGAAGGTGAGGGCTGCCTCCACGTCCCTGCGGTGAGATGGAGTTGGGCGGCACAGGGGTGGCTGGAAGCCTCTGCCAGGATGCACTGCTCCCACAGCCAGGGATGTGTGAGCGCCAAAGTCTGATGGCTTTGACCCGGGGACCGCGGGCACAGGGTGCGGTGGGATGTGGCCGTCCTCATGCCTCTCCCGCTTCCCCACAGCGGTGTCGGCTTTCGGCAAGAAATTCACTTCGTTCTGGTGAGAATGGCGAAAGGTGAGTGCATGGTGCCGGTGCCGCAGCCCGGTGCCCCCTGCCCGCCGTGCCCTGATGCCCTCCTGCCGCAGGAGCTGGGGAAGCGAGTGAAGATCGAGTCGTTGCAGCGGAAAAACCTATGAAGAAGCCGGGGACCTCAGCACACAGCGCTGACTCTGGGTATAACGGTGAGTGGCCCCTCGGCAGCTGCGCCGAGCTCCGTGCTGGCAGCCGGCGCACCGCGGGGCCGGCCGTGTGGCCAGATAGCGGTGTCCCCTCACCGCAGGGATGTGGCCCTGTGGGCTGACCTCTTCTCTGTCTCTTGCCAGCTTTTGAAAGCGGGGTGACCCCTGGGTGCTGGACCTCCCGTGGCAGATGGCGGCGAGCAGCTCTGGCGTGGTGCAGCGTAGGGGGCCCCGCGTGCCGAGGGGCTGCACCCGGACCCTCGGCCCTTTCTCAAGATTATACACAGAGTTGCTCCCTTCGAACCCCAGCTCTGGTGTCTTCATAGGTTTTTCCCCTCCGTGTGAGCCGAGGGCTGCTCCCCGTTCCCTCCGCCCCACCAGCTCCTCGGTCCCCTGCACTGCCGCCCGCTCCCCCCGTGGAGCTGGCACGCCCCGTTAGGACCTAACACTGTTTCACTACCGAAATACGAGGCCATAGGACTCTGCCGGGCGGCGCGGACGTGGGCTGGCCTTTGCCGACGCGGCCCTGCCGGGCTCTGCCCCGAAGCCATGGGAAGCATCCGAAGGGCCGCGCTCACCCTCGCCACGCAGCCGGCGCGCCCCACCACCGGGCACCCCTTTTCTTTCAAGAACAGCCTTAATCATCCCACTTTGAGTTCTCGTATACCTCATCCGCACCGGGAGGGGCAGGGGGAGTCTGCAGGGGGGGAGGGGAGGGGCTGGATCTTTTCTTTTTCTTTTCCACTTTTTTTTTTTTTTTCTTTGGGCTCATTTTGTTGTTTTATTTGTTTGTTGTTTGTTTTGGTTTTTTTTTAATTTATTTCACTTTCGACCAAATCCTCTTCCCCCTTTTGCTTTGTGCGATGAATTAGCACATGGGCTGTCGTCTGTAGAAGCAATAGAGTGCAGGAGGCCACAAAAGAGCACAATCCATGGAACAAGACCAGGAGAGCTTCGCCTCCGCCGATATCCTTCCTCTTACTGTGCAATCCAAGTCCTTCTGAAGCCATTCCGCGTGGGCACGCTCGGACCGGCGGGGCTCCCCCCAGCACTGGGAGACGCACCCAGCCCTCGCCCACCCTGGTGCCCCGCCGGCGCCCGTCCCATGTTCTATGCAACGAAATAACACGACTCCAGAACGAGACCCGTTCATAGCTGATAATCCGACGTCGCGTGCAAGGGTGTCATTGCAAACCGGGTAACTCCTCTCTCGACCACCTGTGCGTATGAAGTTCCAATTCGTGGCATGTTTGACCCACGGAGGGCCACTTTGCCAAAGGGCAGCCATAGCGCCCGTGACCGTCTGTCCTGTCGTAGAGCATGGCTTGCTACTTCTCTGCACGGTCTCACCGCGTTTCAGTGCTTGCTGTTTTTTGCCTGGACTCCTGTTTTTTTTTTGTTTTATTTTATGTTTTTTTACCCCCCCACTCCCTTTTTTTTTTTTTTTTTTTGGTTTTTCTCCTCTCTCTCTCCTCCATCGGTTCATCTCCATACCGACCGCGATGCGTGCACCGGGGTTACGGGCTGGGCTCCCCGTGCCCACCGCTGCCGGCTGTGCCCCCGCCGCCCCTCGCGCTGTAAATAGGTGCCGGGGCGCGGCTGCACGCGGGGCCCCGCTGCGCCCCAGGAGAAGTTTACAGCGGTAAGTGCAATGCCGGCGCCCTCCCTCTGACCATTGTGACGGTGTGCGTGTCTGCTGTGCTCCGTGAGACCCGTAGTAACCCCTCGTGCCGCGCTGTGTCGTGACTCCGTACAGAAGCTGCCCCCACCCAGGTATTTCTGTGGGAACAAAATAAAAGGACTTGATATAAACCACACACCGCCTCCGCCTCGTGCCTTCGTGCATCCCGGGGATGGCCGGGAGCAGCGCTCCGATCGCGGCAGCGCTCCCAATCCGGTCCGTGTTTCGGGTCCCGCCCGGAGGTATCGCGGTAGTGGTTCCGGTCGCATCCGCGAGGGGGCGCCGTAGCGCGGCCGAGGCCAGAGTGCCGCAGCCAATGGGAGGCGGCCCCGCCCCGCCCCGCCCACCGTCCCGGATGTGCCGGAGCTCGGCGGTGCGTCCGCTCGGTGCAGCGACATGGAGCCGCTGGTGAGGGGCTGAGAGGGGACGGGTTGGGGGCTTGGGGGGGCGGTGACGTCACTGCCCCGGGACCCCCGCCCTCCATTACCTTCCCCCCGACCGGTGCTTGCCCCGCACCCCGAATTCTGCCCTTCCCCGGGTGTCCCCGTACCCCATAGTCGCCGCCGCGGGACCTTCCTGTCCTCCTGACGCCTGGGACCCCTACCCCCCCCCCGGCCCTGGTAGGACCCCCCAACCCCCCCCCCCCCCGTGCCCTGGTACCCCATTCACAGCCCCCTCGTGCACTGGTTCCCTTCATAGAACCCCCCCAGCCTTCGTAATTCCTCCGTGTCCCCTTATTCCTTGCTAAGAGCTGAGTGCCCCCATAGAAGCCTCTCCCGGCCTGCCCTTTGCCCCCCTCCTCGTTCTCCCGCAGGTGCTGCCCAGTGCTGAGGAAGCTGCAGCTCTGTACCGGGAGCTGAGCCAGAACCCTGGGATCAGCACCGCCTGCCTGGGTCCCGATGTCACCACGCAGTACGGGGGCAAGTACTGCAGCCTGTACACCGGTATGGGGTGGGCCCTGGGCGAGGGGGGCAGAGGGGTCCTCGCTTCTCCTCACCCTCATCCCCGCAGAGTGGTCGCAGCGGGACCTGGTGCAGGCCAAGAGCATCAAGTTCTGCCGGCAGTACCTGCTCTTCCACGACGGGGCCTCCATCGTCTATGCAGGGCCTGGCGGTGCCTGCTGTGAGATCAATAATGAGTGCGTCCTCGTGTCCCTACCTCCCCACATCCCCACGTCCCTGGCAGCACGGGGCTGATGAACAGCCTTCCCACAGGTTGCTGAGCTGTGAGTCCCCCAGCGGTGCATTGAAGGCTGTCCTGCTCAAAGTTGCCGGCAAGGAGAAGGAGAAAGAGAAGCAGTTCCTGGAGGTGAGTGAGGGGCTAGAGGGTTACAGAAAGGAAGGGACTGGCAACCTGGGCTCCTCCTGCCCCTCTGCTCCCAGGTGTGGTATCAGAACCGTAAGGTGAAAAGCATCGACCTGACGGCGCTGGATAAGCATGGCAGCGTCTATGATGACGGTGAGGGACGGGATGGCCCTGGGGGATGCTGGGGACAGGACAGTTTGTGCCAGATCTTTCCCCACAGACCAGTTTGGCTGCCTGGTCTGGTCGCACTCAGAGACCCACCTGCTGTATGTGGCGGAGAAGAAGCGTCCCAAGGCTGAGTCCTTCTTCCAGACCAAAGCACCCGAGCTGGATGGCTCTGCTGATGAGGAGCTGGAGTGCCCCAAGAAGACAGATGCACCCATCAAGGTGGGTCCCCACCACCCCGGGGGTGATGTCCCTCCACCCCGGAGCTGGCACTTATGGGACTGTGCTACAGGGCGAGCAGTTTGTGTACTATGAGAACTGGGGGGAGACACTGAGCACCCGCAGCGTCCCTGTGCTCTGCGTGCTGGACATCGAGGGCAGCAGCATCTCAGTGCTGGAGGGCGTCCCCAAACACGTGTCCCCTGGACAGGTCAGGATGGGGAAAGGGGACGCGGGAGGTGATGGACAATGGGAGACTTTGTTACTGAGCCACACGGTCCACTGCTCACAGGCCTTCTGGTCCCCAGATGACACTGGGGTGGTGTTTGTGGGCTGGTGGCACGAGCCCTTCCGCCTGGGGCTGCGGCACTGCACCAACCGCCGGTGAGTCCCCCTGGTCCCCACCACCCTGAGGACCCCGGCCCTGTGGTGACAGCTCCTCTCTCCCGGCAGCTCAGCGCTTTTCTACGTGGACCTGACTGGTGGGAAATGCGGTGAGCAGCTCACCCTCACACCTGCAGTGCTGAGCGCCGTGCAGCCCCTCACCACCCGCTTGTGACCTTGCAGAGCTGCTCTCTGAGGACACTGGGGCCCTGTGGTCCCCACGGCTCAGCCCTGACTGCTGCCACATTGCCTACCTGGAAAACAGGGTGCTGGGCCCCCACCAGCAGTGCAGCCGCCTCCGCATGGTGAGCGGCTCTGCTCCCCCACCTACCTGGGGGGGCTGGTGCCGTACCCCTACCTTAGTGAGCTTCCTGAGTGCACCTGACACAGCCTCCCACCCCACGTCTCCCACAGTACAATTGGCGTACCAAGCAGACCTGCACTGTGCTGGAGGCTGTGCCGCGGCAAGTGTGGGGTGAGTGTAGCCCTGTGGGGCAGGTTTTGAGTCATGGGGCAGGTCTTGGGGCAGGGTGAGGTGTTGAGCACCGATACTTTCATTACAGGTGCCTTCCCTGGGATCTACTGCACCGCTCTGCCAAGGCTGTGCTGGGCAGCCGACAGCCGTCGGCTCGTGCTGGACACGTCCCAGCGCAGTCAGCAGGTAAGGACTGCAGGGCCTGGGGGCACACAGAGCAGTTGTTCTGGTGCTGAGCTGGACTCTGCCCTTCTGTCCTCAGGATGTGTTTGTGGTGGACACGCAAACAGGCAGCACAACCTCGCTGACAGCTGGTGAGTGCCACGGTGCCAGGGTTGGGACAGGTTGGCCTGCAGCTCTGACCCTCTCTGTCCTCCCCAGATGCACCCCAAGGGAGCTGGTCTGTCCTCACCATTGACCGGGATCTCTTGGTGGCCCAGTTCTCCACCCCAAGCTGCCCCGCAACGTTGGTATGGTGACATTCCTGTCCCCAGTGCCCCCCTGCCCTCTGGGTGCTGGTGCTGACACTTCTCTCTATGCAGCAAGTGGCTGTCCTGCCTGGTATGGGCCAGGAGGCACAGATAAAGTGGATATGCCTGCAAAATGCACCCCCAGTGCCTGGCATCAATTGGGGCATCCGTACCCTGAAACCCCCACCAGATCAGGAAAACCCCCAGTATGGTGAGTGCTGGGGGCAGCGCGGCTGTCGCTCATCCCCACTGAGCCCTGATTGCTTACGCCCTCCCCACAGAGGGGCTGGACTTTGATGCCATCCTGCTGCGCCCAAGTGAGGGTCCCACTGTCCAGAAGCCCCCTTTGGTTGTGATGCCCCACGGTGAGAGCTCGCCCTCCCCTCCCACTGCCCAGCGCCAGCCCTGGCCCTGCAGTGTCATTCCCACTACTTCTGCCCCACAGGGGGACCCCACACTGTTTTCTCTGCTGGGTGGATGCTGTACCCAGCCACGCTGTGCCGCCTGGGCTTTGCTGTGCTTCTGGGTGAGTTGTTGGGGCAGATGGGGCGCAACACCTTCACAGTACCCATGGGGTTCTGCAGCAGGAGGCTCTGACACCTTCTCTTGCAGTGAATTATCGTGGCTCACTGGGCTTCGGCCAGGACAGCGTGAACTCCCTGCCAGGCAATGTGGGCACACAGGATGTGCGGGATGTGCAGGTAGGATGCGCGTGCCCTATCGTCCTGTGGGTGTCCTGGGTTGGAAACCTGGGCACAGTCACATCCCCACTTCAACAACTGTCCCTGGTGCTTACAGTTCTGTGTGGAGCAAGTGCTGCAGGAGGAGCAGCTGGATGCCAGCCGAGTGGCCCTGGTGGGTGGCTCACACGGGGGCTTCCTGTCATGCCACCTCATCGGGCAGTTCCCCGATACCTACCGTGCCTGCGTGGTCCGCAACCCCGTGGTGAACATCGCCTCCTTGCTCACCGTCACTGACATTCCTGACTGGTGAGTGCTGCAGCCCCCCGCTTCCCTCAGCCCCGGCACCGCACGTCCCCCTGCCTCTCACCCGCAGGTGCCTGACGGAGATAGGAGTACCCTACGTGCCCAATAACTTCCCAGACTCAGCCCACTTGACAGTGATGCTGCAGAAGTCACCCATGTCCTACATCAATCAGGTACATCCCTGTCCCGTCCCATCCCCTGTACCGGCCTGCAGCGCTGCAGCTGAGTCTGTGCCCTTCCTGCAGGTCCGCACGCCTGTACTGCTGATGCTGGGGGAGGACGACAAGCGCGTTCTCCCGGCGCAGGGGCTGGAGTATTACCGTGCCTTGAAGGCCCGTGGCGTGCCCACACGGTGAGTGGGATGCAGGCACTGGGACGTGGGCTGTGGGCACAGCGCTGAGCCCTCTCTCCCTGCAGGTTGCTCTGGTACCCCAAGAACAACCACGCGCTGGCCGGCGTCGAGGCCGAAGCCGACAGCTTCATGAACATCGTGCTGTGGCTGCTGCAGCACCTGCAGGGCTGAGAGCCCCCGGCACCATCACCCCCCAATAAATGTTGTTGAGCACTTGGACTCTCTGCGGTGGTTCTTTGGTTGGCCTCCGCTGCCCCCGGGGCTCGTGACCGCAGGCGGAGGTTGGGCAGAGCCTGCTGCCAGCTCCCAGCACCCTTCCTGGCTCTGGCCCCGGCGGGCTGCTCGTGCACCCTGGCACCCTGCCCACGCTGAGCCACGGCCGGCTGAGCACGGAGCAGCCCCATGGCCTCGGGGACGCAGCGGGGCGCGGGGAGCTGGGGGCAACCGGCGGAGGGGCAGCGGAGCAGCCCTGGTGCCTGCTACAGGGAGCTGAGCCGCTTCCCTGCCGTCAGCTGTGCCGCGCTGGGGGCCACCGCGGGGGGACAGGGACAGGGACAGGGACAGGCCTTCCTGCTGCACACCGGTGAGTCAGGCCCCGCGGCCCCGCTGCGCTGTGCCCGGGCTGGTGCTGACATCCCCGTCCTGCAGAGTGCCGGCAGCCCGACCTGCCCCGCCGGCGGCTCCTGCGCTTCAGCCGCCACTACAGCGTTCAGCGCACGGAGCGCGGCCTCGCCATCAGCCGGGCTGCGCTCAGCACGGAGATCCACAACCGGTACGGCTCGTGGCCAGCCTGTGGGACGGGGCGGCGCGGGGCGTTCTGTTCTGTACCCTCCACGGCTCCCTACCGCTTGCAGGCTGCTCGGCCAGGATTCACCCTCGGGGCAGCGCCGCGCCGTGCTTGTCCGCCGCCCACCGCAGGGCCACGAGCTGCTGGAGGTAATGCGGTGCCGGGGACGCGCCGGGGAGCCGGGTGCAATGGGCACGGTGCAGCCGGTGAACCTGCTTCACCCAGGTATGGGATGGCAGCGGGCGCAGCCACTGCGTGGATCTGACAGCGCTGGGGAAGCACGGGGCGGTCTACACAGAGGGTAAGGACCCCTCCCCAAATCCTCCTCTGCACGGCTGAGTGTGGCACAGCCGCGGTGCCCGGCTGCCCCCGCACCGTGGAGCGCTTTGGCAGCCTGTGCCTGCGGCAGGGCCGTTTGCCTGCCTGGCCTGGTCCCACTTGGAGACGCAGCTGCTCTATGTGGCTGAGAGGAGCCGGCCCACGCTACCTGCAGCCTGCCCAGGGCAAGTGCCAGGAGCAGCCGAGCCAGCAGAGGATGAGGATGAGGAGGTGGGTGGTGAGTATGTGAGTATACTCTGCACATGGTGAGCACCGTGAGCATGCCGTGTGTCCTGTGAGCATGCCCCACAAATGGTGAGTGTGCCTTGATTCCTGTGAGTGCGCCAGATGGGCAGTGAGTGTGCCATGTGCACACTGAGCGTGCCATGCTCCCTGTGAGCATGCTGCAGGGCGAGCAGTTCGTGTACCACGAGGGCTGGGGAGAAAAGCTGAGCACTTGCAGTGCCCCTGTGCTCTGCATACTGGATATCAAGAGCAGCAGTGTCTCAGTGCTGGAAAGTGTCCCTGAGCACGTGTCCCCTGGCCAGGTCAGTACTGGGAGGTAGGTGGGGCAGCTGTGGGATCAGGCTGAGGCCCAGACCTGAGCCTGGCTGTCCTACAGGCATTGTGGTCCCCAGGTGACACTGGTGTGGTATTTGTGGGCTGGTGGCACGAGCCCTTCCGCCTGGGGCTGAGCGCTTGCTCCAACAGGAGGTGAGCCCCAGTGCCTCCCACGCTCACTCACTGCATGGCACAGGCATGGAGCTCTGACCCAAGCGTTCCTCCTCCCCAGGTCGGGTGTTTTCCACCTGGAGCTGGCCGGCGGGCATTGCGGTGAGCACTGGGACACAAAGGACCGTGGGCTCCTTGCTGTCCCCAGGCACTGACGCACTGCCCGCAGAGCTGCTGTCTGTCCCTAACCGTGCCTCCTTCTCACCCCGGCTGAGCCCGGACGGTCAGCGCCTGCTCTACTTGGAAGGGGCTGTGGGAGGGCCCCACCGGCAGTGTCTGCAGCTGCGCCTGGTGAGCAGGATCCTGCACGCTGGGCCACCCGTCCCACACTGGGCAGGTCCCCAAAGTCTGTTTTGGTCTCCGAATCCCCGTGCCTCAGTTTCCCCTTTGGGCTCGGCTCCCCCCAGCTCACCTGGCAGACGCGGCAGACGGTGACGGTGCTCGACGTGGTACAAGAGCCCACGGGCAGTGAGAGCTGTAAGGCTGGGTGCTGCTGGGGGATCGGACCATCACACTGAGTGCCACCACCCCAACTCCTCAACGCTCCCTCCCACTCACAGCCTTCACTGGAATCTACACCGATGCGCTGCCACTGCAGTGCTGGGCAGCTGACAGCCGGCGGGCGCTGCTGTGCACCCCACAGCGGAGCCGCACGGTGAGCTGGGGCATGGGGACAGGGCACAGCCATGGCACAGCCCCCGTGTGACGCTGTCCCCACACAGGACCTGCTGCTGGTGGACACAGAAACTTCCACCATCACCAACCTCACTGCCGGTACGTGGCACCCGGCTGCTCGCGTCGCTTTGGTGAGCAGGATGAGCACTGGGAACTGTGAGCGTGGTGCTGTCCCCAGGGTCACCAGAGGGGTGCTGGGAGCTGCTGACCATCCAGTGGGACCTGCTGGTGGCCACCTGCTCAGCCCCACACCACCCACCCAGCCTGGTGAGCTGAGCACCATGCAGTACTGGCACCGTGCGAGGTGCTGGTGACACCCTGCTATGGAATAGGAGTACCTGGTGCCACCCGCTGCCTGTCCCCAGGTGATGGCAGAGCTGCCACCGTTGGGCCAGGAGCTGCCCCTGCGTTGGGTTCCAGTGGAGGACACCCCACCAGTTCCTGGCATCACCTGGAAAACGCTGACAGTCCAGCAAAACTCTGCTCCACACAGTGAGTATGTGGGGGCCCAGCAGTGCCTGGGTGCACAGGGTTGTCTGTGGCACTGGGTGCTGAGTGGGGCCCCTCCAAAGTGCAGGTCCCCAGACCTTCGAGGCCCTGCTGCTGAGCCCAACAGGCGGCACCACTCCGCACCCCCTCGTTGTGTGTCCCCACGGTGAGTGAGGGCCAGGGGGACATCCTGATGGTACTGGTGGCACTCAGGTAACATCCCTGCTATGCCCAGGCGGCCCTCACGCCGTCTTCGATGCCCGCTGGCGCCCAAGCATGGCTGCGCTGTGTCAGCTGGGCTTCGCCGTGCTGCTCGGTGAGTGATGGGGACTTCAGTGCTGCGTGTCCCCTGTGCCACAACGGGATGTGGCCTCCACCATCCCCATCTCTGCAGTGAATTACCGTGGCTCGCTGGGCTTTGGGCAGGCAAGCATTGAGTGCCTGCAGTCCCGTGTGGGTGAGCAGGATGTGGCTGACACACAGGTGAGGAGCAGCAAACAGGTGCTGATGGTGGGGCGCTGATGGTGGGGTGCTGATGGTGGGGTGCTGATGGTGGGGTGCTGACGGTGGGGTGCTGACGGTGGGGTGCTGACGGTGGGGTGCTGACGGGGGGGG